TAATGTTGCTTCCACTGATGTGAAGGTACTAGGCTCAAAGACACAATAACATTTGGCTTGGGACATTGCTATCTCCCTGTGCTGGTTATTCAACTGGCACTTACCAATGAATGCTGGAAAATGTCACCTGCAGTCAAAGGCCTTGGTGGGTATCACAGTAGGACACCAGGCAAACCCCTTCACTATTAAAGCAGCGAAGGAAGTAAGATACCTTGGGATTTTGGTAACAGTTGATCTTAGATGATTGGATCAATGTGTCAGAGCAGCACGAAAAACTATAGATCTCTGTAGAATAAAGTCAGAGTTGTCTTGTCTCAAACCTGAGGTATTCATACCTCTTTGCAAGGCAACTATCTTGCCCCACTTAGAGTATTTTGTCCGGGTATGGTCACCCTTCTTCAAAAAGGATGCCACCTGTTTAGAGAGCATTCAGTGGCTGGCAACGAGAATGATTTAAAGGCAGCAGGACAAAGACTATAGGCAAAGGCTTCAGGACCTTGAACTTCTTCCTTTGGAAAAGAGAAGACGCCAAGGAGATACGATAGAAACCTTAAAGATAATGAAAGGTTTGTCCGGTCTTAGACCAAAAACTCTGCCTCACTAAGCGCTTGGTCCAAATTCAAGGGGCACGACACGAGGCTAGCCAAGACCCGTCCAGTATTGATCGCTCGATCTCACTTCTTCAGCAACGGAGTAGTTATCATCTGGAGCAGAATACCTGTGGACCTAATAGAAATGCAGAATGTGTTGGAATTCAAGACTGCTCAGGACAATCCATTTACCAGTGCTTGGAACCTAGACGAGTGAGAACGGGGTACTCAGGTTGCATGCATTTTTTTGCTCCGTGATTTGTTTGTATGTAACCTGGTGAATAAACGCTCAAGTATAATAGCCTCTCTTTTTTGAAGTAGCAAGCTTGGATTAGTCCATTCGTTTGTTAAGAGGTACCAGGCTCTCTCTTCATGTATTCTTCCCCTTTTTTCCTCTCTTTAGCAAGGAGGCAAAGGATTAATCTGCGCAGTGGTAGGTGCAAAATTGATTGCATACTGTCGAAGGAATGCTGGACACTCGATTGGCCGTAACCGTTTTCGGTCATGTGCAAACTAAACGGCTGACTAGATTTTAGTATTAGTCTCCACTTGTCTTAATGGCTATCTGCCCGCAACAAACCAAACTGGTTCCGTTTGTCAGAATAGCATGCTTCAGTGATAAATTCATCAAAGACAAATGTCGTCTCATAAGTCGCAATTTGAACAGACCAATTAATTTTTCCGAACGAAGAAAAAGGGTTGGTCAAATGCTTTAACACTAGTAGCTCTTGTTTAGTTTGGGTGTTATAGTGGTAAAAAAGCAAGTTATCACAAGTTCATGGGGAACACGAAGTCCACCAATAATAAAGGTTTTAGATTATTTGATTACGAACAAAACATCTGAAAGTGATCCGTCTCAAATCACAATTGGACAGTATATCGATTTTTATCTTTATTTGTTTTGCCAAATTTGCGTTTGAGGTTTGTATGCAAGCTAATATGATTGTTATGAAATTAAGTTCAAGACACTTTGACCAACCAAATATGCGATGATAATTTGTTCCCTGTTTTGAACCTGATTCAAAATGTGATGAGTGATGATAATACTACAAAGAATAGTGATAATTTAGGTTTAAATGGTATAGTTAGTGACACAAGAAGTTNAAGTTCGCGGTAATGATGAAGTGGTGAAAACGACGAGGTAATCAGCGACTACGAATTACACACTATTGACGAAGCTTTAACGGCATCGATCATGAAGGCCGCAAACCATACCTTTGTTCTGGTTGATCTGATAGTAGGTTATACCGCTTGAGCGTCAGGATGAATCAAAATCTCTTCCAGGTTTGCTCAAAAACGCAACATGACGTTTAAGCTTTACTCTGATTGCATGCAGCGAGAAAAATATTTTCGAGAAGAGAACAAAAGATTAAAACTCTTAAGGTTTTACACAATCCCCCCTCCCCGGTTGTTTACGAGCCAAGAATTGAGACAAATCAGTACTCAATTAAATGATTGATTTTCTGCAGACCAGACTCCTAGAGTCAAACACTCCCATTTGTGTTACAAACAGAGTCTCAAAAAATATACATGCCCTTTTATTGAATGCTGAGACAGACAATGTTCATTAAAAAAAATAATTAGCACACAAAATCTCGTCACCGATTACAAATTAAAAAAAGAGAAAACAATTTCGCGACGATAGAGACTCGTATGCAATAGCAGGCAGTGCAGCATGCCAAAAGTACAAAAGTTCAACAACCACATTTACCAATAATTATTTAGTATTTAATTCTGAGACTTCACACCTCTATCGGCATTTTATACTGTATCTGACTGAAATATTCGAAAAGATGACAAGTTTTGGTCGTCGCTCCTGTTTTATCAAGAATTTTCTGTCCATTCATGAAGGAAAATACCTTTTTACATTCAGAAATAAAAACGAACATGATCATGATTATTGTACGGAACTTTTTGAAGATTTAAGGCTCTCTAGGACGTTGTCCTAGTAGAAATTTGGTGTACCCACTTCAAGGTGTTTGCTTTGAATTTAGATTCCAACGATCCATCAGCTAGTTATTCCGTCTGCAGTCCTCATTTGACCTTGGCAATCTCACGGATGAACCGTGTTGAGAATAGTACACCACGGTGATGAACAGTTAAAAAGTCATTCTAAAGTTACCCCGGTAACAATATATTATTTTGCAGTTGAGTCAAAAAGAAAGTAAAGTAAAGCAAAAGGAAAGATATTTATGAAGTTAGTCGATTCGTTTTCTCAAAATCGCAAGCGTTAGGGACAATCCCAGTGAAGAGAAATTCTAATTTTTGCCAGACTTGCAAACCTGAGAAACAATTGCTTCATGGATAACAATAGATAATCGTATTATTTTGACTCACTCGGTCACGTTTAGATCAAACATCGAATCCTCCAGATTTAACTGTGTCCTGTAATCAGAGTTATTTGAAATCCGGAGGATATACCCCAAAATAATCTTGTTTCTGATGTCATCTTTGTCATTTGAATCTGCAAAAACTGATGCAAAAGGCTTGCGGTCAACAGAACGGACACAAAACTGGCTGGTAAGTAAGCCCGATAAGAAATGAAGTTGAAATCTGAGTACTTCATTTGTGATTTCTAGCAAGATCAGCACGTATCTAGGCAACCTGTAACGACTTTGGCAACTTGCCATTCCGTTTGCGTGTGGGTCGTGTTCATGTTTCAATGGGCCGTTTTGTTCATGATGTTTGTATTTTTCATCTCTTTCAGATTGTCAGTCAACCTTTTCCACGGAGAACCTCCTGTCTGTCGACGATTCCAGTCCGCACCGAAAATCGGCCAACATTCGGTTGTCTGGTGTATCTCTTTACGGCTGCACACATGAGTCAAAGCATATGACAATACCATCAACCTGCTCCGCGTGTCTGTATACAGAAAAGAGGGAGCTGTTGTCCGCCGGAAAACCTATTTAAACTCTAACATGGGTATTATTATTATTGTAAAAATTGATGCTTTTGACCTTCACAGAGATGATTACCTCGTAAAACTCCGAGTTATGCACCCAATGGGTCAAATTCTCAGCATCTTTTTTATTTCATATTGAGGATCTATATTGTTCTAAAAAAACGCAGTATTAAATTAACCTTTTCAGCACAGGAGACTTCTAAAGCAAGAATGTTTTCTTAAGGCCGCTGGGAATTCTCGCATTTTTAACTCAAAGACGGGCAAGCTACTGAATTGTTTCGCATGTGGGCATGTGAATGTGCATTAAGCTAAAGGTTGATACTTAGAGCGTGTTAGGGCGTTCGCTTCCGCTTTCACTACTTTGTGATGCAGACAGTATCCTTGCTCAGGACTTATTAAATCAATAAATCTTTCACATAAATCCGAATACCTGAAAACAAAAAGAGACTCCACAGTTTTCAGATTCAAGGAGACATCAATATAATACAGTTGCCGCTGCTAAGTACAGCGGAGCGGTTAAGGACCAATCATAAAATTTATCAGAGCTGTCGTGGAGGATGTGGATACGGTTTGGACTAGGGGATGGGAGTCTAATTACTGTGAGACCAGCACACTTGCAAGCAAATCAGTCTTCAACGACTGGAAAGATTCTCTAGGTCAAAAGCGAAACTGAATCGTGACTGAATGAAATTCGGAAAAACACCAGAATGCAATGTTTGCTGAAGAATATAACCTACTAGTGAATGAGGTGAATTATGTAAGTAATCAATGCATTCCAAATTTCTGATATCAAGTCGCACCGAAGATGACGTTGAACAAACATATTTCATTAAAGAGTTTGGTAAACTGCTTGTCGTACACTTTTATCACGAGTGTGAGGGTGTTATGAAAATTTCAATCAATTGAAAATGGTATAGATGTATAGGGATCACATGTATTATTTTGAATCAACATAGACTAGATAAAAAGGTGCCCTTATTCATTGTAAGCCTCGGTTTCTCGGTTACTTTTGTTGTGTATCTTTGAAAACGTTTGCTTATCACCAAGTATGTACACCCAAATAAACATTTGCGGTTTTCGGTGACCCGATTCCCTCCTATCTCGTCACGTGTCTTGACCTAGGTACTGGCTAAGGTGACTGTTTCTCACTCTTTGAAATATCGCTAATTGTTAGCGAATCCACAACACATCTTGGTGCTCAGTTATATTCTGTTCTTGTCATAACCCTGATAGTCATGCGGATGCATTCCCAAACCGATATTGGTAGACTGAAGTCTTTGGGGTTGTACGCCATCCAGTGTCGCCGAATTCAAAGGGACCTGATTTCGGTGTATCAAATAGTGCAGAACCCTGATCAATCAACGTGTGAGACCGTTAATTAATCCCGGGCTCCAAACACATTCATATCCCGAGAACCCTACTAATACATCGGACCACTCAATGCAAGCATCAAATTCCGTCCCGCAACAAGTGGTCCAAAGAACCAGAGCTTCTCTGTCAAAAAACTGATGGCAGCCGACCGAGAAGAGGTCGGACAAGACATCACTTTTAATTCAATCGTATTTCTACACCAAAAATATTTAACCTGTTTCTATACCAATGCTCAAGGACTCTTCAGCAAATTTCCAGAGCTGAATTTTCGATTCATATCAGGTCAATGGGATATTATTGCTGTTACAGAAACGTGGCTTACAGCTGATATTCCGGACTCCGAATTGTCCTTACCAGGAATGTCTCTGCTCAGATGCGATCGTCCTACCCGTGGCGGTGGTGTTCTACTCTATTATCGTAAAGACCTTGATTGCGAGCAAATCCATCCTCCAGTTTCGACTCCTAACACTCTGTGGTGTAGGCTGAGACTGTCCAAACACGATGGTTGTTTGATTGGTGTCATCTATCGCCCTCCGTCGGCCACGGAATCAGCCAATATGACCCTTTTGAACACTATGTTACACATTCTCGCAAAAAGATTCACACATGTTTTGCTAATGGGTGATTTCAACTGTCCAAACCTCGGCAAACCAATGACTTCTCATCCCTTATTCGGACAGCAATTCATAAAGCTGATTGCCTCACAACCACTGTACAACCACGTGAAAGAGCATATCAGATTCGGAAACTTGCAATCACCATCCATCCTGGATTTAGTGTTGACAAACGAAGAGTTGATGATAGAATCTGTTGCCGTTACGACCCCTCTGGGACGCAGTGACCATGCTGTACTGTTGTTCAAATATATTTGTTACGCTTCTGTCAAAGCAATCAACCCAAAAAACGTTCGCACATTCATAGACTATGCAAAGTTGGAGAGCTTGGCTCCTTCCATTCAGTGGATATCTCATAGGGAAGAGTACAACCATTTATCCTTGTGGCACGAATTCACTGACAGTCTGTAACAACTACTGGCGTCAGTAACGCAGGTAAAAGTTGTTACCAAACCCAGCAGCCGGAAATCTCCTATTCAAAGCCGTACAAAGAAATGGATATTTCTGAGGGACCTCGAATGGAGAAATTACAAACGAATTCCGAATGCATGCACCTGGAACAATTACCGACTGCTGCGAAACCACTGCACCAAGTTGGTGAGCGAAGATAAACTAAACCATCAAGAATCTCTAGCACAAAGATTTATTTAAAATCCCAAGCTTTTGTACAAACAGGTTAACTCAGCCCGAAAAGTTAAACATGGAATACCGGTGCTCAGTTCTTCTGGAAGAGCCACAGCCAATACAATGGAAGCCGCTGAAATGCTGAAGAACCAGTGTGCCCAAGTTTTTACTGCGTCAACTAACGAACGACTGTACCTCCCTTCCTGAATGCATCGAATTCCACATCCTTCACTAACTAACCTATCATTCACTACCGAAAAAGTGAAAGCAAACCTATTCGTTTTGAGGAAGAATTCATCGCCAGGGGCAAACAATATTCACCCCCAAACCCTTATCTGCTTGGTAAATCAAATAGCCGAGCCACTAGCCTTCCTATTCCAGAGGATGTTCGATCACACTGCAATCCCACCGTCGTGGAAGAAGGGAGTAATTTCACCCAATTACAAAAGCAGTTGTCGTAGCGATCCCAGCTGACTTCCACACTGTAACCCTCCTTCCAGGGCTGTCTCAATTCATGGAGCCTATAGTAGCAGATTCCCTGATGCAACACCTAGAGAAGCACAACGTTTTGTCAACAAATCATTTTGGATTCCGAGAGAATCGATCCTGCGGTACCAATTGGCTGATCGCACGAGAAGAATGGACAAAAGCAGTTGATGATGGTGACGCGGTGGACGTAATTTATCTTGACTTCTCAAAAGCGTTCGATCGGGTAAATCACGACATTCTACTGAGAAAACTCTATAACCACGGTATTCCGGGCCTCGCACTTGGCTGGATCGAAGCATTTCTCCGACATCGGACCGTATCGGTTCGTGTTCCTGATTCGCTTTCCAGTCCTATGGACGTTACCCGTG